GCTGCTGATTATCCATGCTGCTGATTATCCATGCTGCTGATTATCCATGCTGCCGATTATCCATGCTGCTGATTTCTTACCCATAAGCTGCTATATTCATACCCATCTGCTCACAACAGACTCATATTCAGGCTGCTGTTTAATACACCGTATTATATTATTACTGTTTAGTGTACATCTTAGATCCTTGTATACTGTTTTTTATACACTGCCCTGCGAAAAAAAAAGTAGCTACCAAGAAAAAATGTCACACTAATATTTTGTTGGACCGCCTTTAGCTTTGATTACAGCATGCATTCTCTGGGTCATTCTCTGTTTCTGGATTATTGAACATGGACTTTGTTGTTCTCTGTGGCATTGTTTCGATAAGCTTCTGCAATGTCACAAGATCTATTTCCATCCAGTGTTGCATTAATTTTTCAACAAGATCTTGCATTGATGATGGCAGATACTGTCCATTGTGCAAAGCCTTCTCCAACAGACCTCAAACAGACCCCAAAGATTCTCATTGGGGTTAAGATCTGGACTCAGACTCATGCTCCCAGAAGCACTCTTTCACAATTCGAGCCCGATGAATCCTGGCCTTGTCATCTTGGAATATGCCCGTGCCATCAGGGAATAAAAAAATCCATTGATGGAATAACCTGATCATTCAGTATATTCAGGTAGTCAGCTGACCTCATTCTTTGAGCACATTCTGTTGCTGAACCTGGACCTGACCTGGGATCTTGAGTACATAATGTTGTTCCCACTCATGTACAACATGTGATGTGAATGACAATAAAGTCACCTTGAACCTTGATTTATATAAAACTTGTTTAAAGTTAAATTTAAAGTTTTATTAAAGTAAATTAAAACTAATTTAAAGTACATAAAAACAACATCCAGCCCTGAAATTGGTCCATTTAGTCAGGCTCTTGTTATTACATTAGTCACTGAACGGCGTTCACCTCAGCACTGCCTGAACTCAGGAGGTGTCACAACTTTTTACATCAACAAAACTAATTGTGCCAGTGTACTGTGAACATGCCTCTGAATCTGCAGGTTTGGACATGTCCAATGAAACTATTTCAATTAGTCTAACAAAGTTGACTCAGGTCCTCTGGACAGAGGACCTGAGTCAACTTTGTTAGATTTTTCTACCTGGATTATTGAGCATGCATCAGGAAATTTAAATTAGTGTTGAAACTTTATTCACAATTTAAGCACTTTTAAAACCTTAGAAATAGCTACTTTCAAATTCAATCATTTTTACAGATTTCAAGCACCCGTATGAATCCTGGATCTACAGAAGAGAGGATGTCTTCTGTGCCAATTTCACTTGACATGTCACGACAGAGGCTTTTATGGGTTGCATTCAGTTTATTATAGAAAGTTTGTGTTTTATCTAGTGAGACCTCATTAAACCCTTTACAGTAAGTTTTACTGGAAAAACTAAAGTGAAAATAATTCCATGGTTTGCATAAATGTTTAAATTTTTTCTAAGAAATTAAAGAGGAGGACAAAAAAGAACCAGGTTTTGTGATATCTAGTAACTGGAGTGCTCCTTTACACTAGAGATGGGCAGTGATTTTCAAAAATTCAAAGAGTTATTAAAGAGAAGACTTTATTTATCCAACAAATGGGAAAGTCTCACAGGAGCATTAAAACATTCAAATTTGCTGTTTGATAAGCCTGAAAGCTAGTAGCAACATGCTGCTAACACTACTGTGACAAGAGAAACGCAACTAGGTCTTTTCCACCCGTCTCACCTGTTTCTTTTCTACTTCTGCATGTTTTAAACACATTTAAAAGCCACAATAGCGATCAAAATATGCAATTTTTCAATGTTTATTTGAATTTTTATGTTTCCAACAGTTTGTGCATTACTAAAAGATGGGTTGGAGTAAGTCTAGGGCTCTGTAAGACTTGTGTTAGAAAACAGCAAATATTCCTCGCCTTTGTTTACAACTACATTCAGCTATCAGTTACAATGAGTGACAAGAATTCTCCTGTTAGTTTAGAATACCTCAGGACAGCTCATTTGCATTTGATCTCAGCACCAACTCGTACAATCAACGCCCTCCATTGCTCAAGTTCCTCTTTCAGAATAACTACAGTACTTCTGTTGACTCCTGTCCTCACAGCCTTTAGTCGTCTCTTTTCAGAAGAAAACAATCATTTTACCTTTCGACCTGACGTCTCTGACGTCCATTGTTCTCCCTCTGACTCAAGTGGGGATAATTTTACCAACTCAGTACCGTGAGCATGTCTGAAGTGTACTTATTAATGTCCAAATACTTCTTTAAAAGTCTTCAGATGATCCAAAATGCTGCAGCCACAGTCTTAACTGGAGTTACTGGGAGAGATCATATCTCTCCAGTTTTAGCTTCTCTCCATTGGCTCCCTGTCAAATCCAGAATATAATTCAAAATCTTACTTCTAACCTACAAAGCTCTCAACAACCTAGCTCCATCTTATATTACAGATCTTATTGTTCCATATTTTCCTAACAGAGCTCTTCGCTCTCAGACTGCAGGTTTACTTGTGGTTCCTAGAGTTTCCAAAAGCAGAATGGGAGGAAGATCTTTCAGTTATCAGGCTCCTCTCTTGTGGAACCAACTTCCAGTTTCTGTTTGTAAGGCTGACACATTGTCCAGTTTTAAGACTGGGATTAAGACTTTCCTTTTTGATAAATCCTATAGTTAGGGTCGACTTGTTCTGCTTAAACTACTAGAAGACAAATTGACCTAATTTCATTAAATGAATTGTTAAAATTTAATAGTTTTCATTTGATACTATTTCTATATTAACATGTGATTCTTGTCCTGCCATTGTGTATCTGTTCCTCTCAAACCCAGCCGGTCGAAGCAGATGTCCGCTTGTTCTGAGTCTGGTTCTGCTAAAGGTTTCTTCCTCATGAGGGAGTTGTTTCTTTCCACTGTCGCCTTCATGCTTCCTCAAGATGAGAGTTCTGTGATGGAGTTAAACTCAAAGCAGTCTGCTCCTCAGATAAATAATGTTCAATTATTATTTTTATATTTGAATGTTCTTGTTCACTGCCCTGAGATGACTTCTGTTGTGACTTGGAGCTATAGAAATAAACTGAAATGAATTGAATTAATGATCGAATGTACACAAATGACTCATAGTTATAAGCAAGAAATCATAATTCTGCTGATTTCATTCAATTATTTCAAATTATGCAGCAGCTTTTTCCATCATAAATGATACACATTTACAAAAAATTCCAATTAAGAACTTTTTGAAAAATCCCACATTTCCACAACTATCACGGTTGTATAGATGTTTATAGCTAAATAAATATTTTTTTATCAGATGATCTCATGTCGTATAAAATTATTAAATACAAATTTATGATGTGAGAAGTGTAGGCAAATTTCAAAGAACAATTTGTAGAGCGAGTCTCCATTATTAAACCTAAAACAGTTGTATTTGTTGAGCGATGTCACTGTATTCCTGCAATAGAAGAATTGCCCACGCTTTGTCAAGAAAATAAATTGTTTAAAGACATTTCTCCTGTAGGTTCCAGCCTTTAAAATATTTTACTGTTGGATAATAAAGACGTCTTGTTGGAGGATAACCATGTGTTCAATTTTAGACTGTAGCACCTAATATCAGCTCAGAGCTGGCTGCACAGATCTGATTAATTTCCAAACGTAGTTCTGAAAATGTCTGAGAAAAAACCCTGTAGCCTGTTGCCAAACCCTAGTTTACACACCTCACCACAAGGTCGTACCATCAAGACGACCTCAGGGCTCGTGAATTTGAGAATAACTAATCTAGGCAAACAAGCTTTAACAGAGCATTTCTTCAGAAACAGCTCTCCACTCCTTCATTTTACACTTTTCCCCACTCCAGATTAAAACTACCAAACAGAAGAGCACAAAATGCCAAGTCAATGCACCTGTGGCAAGTGGTAGAGGTGAAAGTGGGCGTGACAGGGTGGGCGATGGGGTCCCAACCGCCAAACTCCTCCTCTTGTTGTTCCGGGAACTGCGAGGAGGGAAACAAAGAAAAGCATTTGGATGTGTGAAATTTTTACAAAGGTGATCAGACAGAAGCGCACGCTGCTCACAATTCTGTTATCAGAGCAGTAAAATGAAACGGTCAACCTATGAACTCAAGTGGATGACTGTGAGGAGGAAAATATTGACAACATTGAGCGCGCATACCTGCATAACAACAAACACGCACTTGTAAAATCATACTTATGTTTGATCTTTTCTTTGGCCATAATTAACATAGTTCAGATTAGAGAAAAGTTTTTGAAAACATGAATAAAAACAAAAATAAACTGACAACAATTCACTGAACTGAAATTAACTGTTCAGTCCCTTTACAAGCGGTGTGAGAGTTTGGTTCTCATTGCTGGCAGTAAGTCGGACCCCTTCATGGCGGGAGTTGGACTCCACCAGGGCTGCCCGTTGTCACGGATTCTGTTCATAACTTTTATGGACAGAATTTCTCGGTGCAGCCAGGGGGCGGAGGGAGTCCGGTTCGGTGGCCTCAGGATTCCATCTCTGCTCTTTGCAGATGATGTGGTCCTGTTGGTGTCATTGTGCCGTGATCTTCAGCTCTCACTGGAGCGGTTCGCAGCCGAGTGTGAAGCAACTGGGATGAGAATCAGCACCTCTAAATCTGAAGCCATGGTCCTCAACCAGAAAAGGGTGGATTGCTCTCTTCAGGTCGAGGGTGAGGTTCTGCCTCAAGTGGAGGAGTTCAAGTATCTCGGGATTTTGTTCACGAGTGAGGGAAGAATGGAGCGTGAGGTTGACAGACGGATTGGTGCAGCATCTGCAGTATTGCAGATTCTGTACCGGTCCATTGTGGTGAAGAGAGAGCTGAACTGTAAAGCAAAGCTCTCAATTTACCAGTCTACGTTCCTACCCTCACCTGTGGTCATGAGATCTGGGTAGTGACCGAAAGAATGAGATCGCGGATACAAGCAGTTGAAATGAGTTTTCTCCGCAGGGTAGCTGGACTCTCCCTGAGAGACAAGGTGAGAAGTTCAGTTATCCGGGAGAGACTGAGTAGAACAGCCACTCCTTCACGTCAAGAGGAGCCAGTTGAGGTGGTTTGGGCATGTCCAACTGAGAGTAGACCCCAGGGAAGACCCAGGACACGCTGGAGAGACTACGTCTCTCAGTTGGTCTGGGAACGCCTTGGAATCCTCCCAGAAAAGCTGGAAAAGATGCTGTGGAAAGAGATGTCTGGACCTCCCTGCTCAAGCTGCTGCCCCCGCGACCCGACGTCGGAATAAGCGGAAGATAATGGATGAAATTAACTGATCCTTTCAGCATAACTTACTAGAGCAGTAAATAATGATTATTTTGATAGTGGACTTCTTCATCTCTTCTTTTTTCAGCTTTCTCCTCTTCAGGGTCTCAACAGTGAGTCGTCCTTCTCCATCTCTGTCCTCACTCCAACTACCTCCATGTCCTCTCTAATTGCATCCACACATCTCCTCTTTGTCTTTTTCCTGGCAGCTGCATTTCTAACATCCTTCTACCAATATACCCACTGTCCCTCCTCTGGACATGTCCAAACCACTGTCCCTCCTCTGGACATGTTCAAGCCACTGTCCCTCCTCTGGACATGACCAAGCCACTGTCCCTCCTCTGGACATGTCCAAGCCACTGTCCCTCCTCTGGACATGTCCAAACCACTGTCCCTCCTCTGGACATGTCCAAGCCACTGTCCCTCCTCTGGACATGCCCAAACCACTGTTCCTCCTCTGGACATGTCCAAACCATCTCAGTCTGGTTTCTCTAACTTTATCTCCCAGTTGTTCAACCTGTGCTGCACCTCTGATGATCTCATTCTTATCCATCCTTGTCACTCCTAAGGAGAACCTCAACATCTTTATTTCTGCTACTTCCAGTTCTGTCTCCTGTCTTTTGGTCCATGTCTCTGTCTCCAGACCATACAACATAGCTGGTCTCACCTCTGTCTTGTAAACTTTTCCTTTGACCTTTGCTGACACTCTTTTGTCACAAATCCTGTCTGCACACTCTTTTTCACCTAGGGCTGGATGATATGGCCAAAACTTTTATCATAATATATTCCTCAACTTCGGTCGATAACGATATAATTCAATAATGACATAAACAATATAAAAGCCTCTGAAAAACTACAAACTATACAAAGAAATTAATGTTCACCTTTTATTTGTATTTAGCCTTCAAAAAAATTGAAATCACCATCAAATAAACAAAATTCTCAAATTTGTCAATATTAACAGTTTTAACTTTAAACAACTTTAAAATTGACAGCATTGAAATTCATAGTTAATGATATAAAAGTTTTGGGTGTCGTTATTGATGAGAAGCTAACATGGAAATCTCATGTAAAATACTTAATAAAAATAGCAAAATCAATTGCATTACTGTATAAAGAAAGAGTTTTTAAATGACAAACCTTTGTATATATTGTATAATGTAATGACTGTTCCATATTTAATCTATTGTATTGAAGTTTGGGGAAAAGCATGCAAAACAATTACAAATCCTATTTTTATTTTACAAAAAAGAGCTTTAAGAATTTTAAAAAGTTAAATCTGGTCCTCTGGACACTCAAAAAACAAACAAACAAAGCAAAACAACAACAAAAAAAGTAGAAACGTTTTGTCTCTCATCCAAGAGACTTCTTCAGTCTGAGGTGCTGTTTTCAGCTCAGTCTCTTAAATAGCACCTTCTCAGAGTAGATCAACCAGTTTTGCTACTGACAACCAAAACCAGCTGCTCACATGCTCAAGAAGGACCATCAGCATAACAATGGATCATTAGCACACTGATGGCTGTTTACTACTCACAGAGGGCTGAGTGATACTAGCAATCACAGCATTGTAATAGGGGGACAGTTGAACCCGGAGGCCTCCACCCCTGTTTAATGATGGACGGTTTCTTTTCACAAAGATGGCCTCCTTTACTCCTCTCTCAAACCATCGTTCCTCTCTGTCCAGGATGTGAACATCTTCATCCCTGATAGAGTGACCGCTGGCCTGGAGATGAGTGTAGACCGCAGAGTCCTGGCCTGATGATGTTGATCTTCTGTGCTGGACCATCCTTTTGGCCAGTGGCTGTTTAGTTTCCCCGATGTAAGACTGATCACCCTCCTGACACTGAACAGCATACACAACATTACTCGGTTTGTGCCGGGGGACTGGATCTCTGGGATGAACCAGTCTTTGCCGTAATGTATTTTGGGGTTTAAAAGCCACTGGGACGTTATGTTTAGAAAATAAACGTCTCAGTTTCTCTGATACTCCCTCAATATATGGAATGACCACTGGTCTTGTTCTGGGTTCCTCCTTTTCACCTGATGGCTGACTGGAGTCCTGTTTGGGTTTCTTCTCTGCTTTCAGGAAGGCCCAGTTAGGATATCCACATTGCTCTAGAGCCTGTCTTGTGTAGGATTTCTCCTTCTGCCTGGCTCCTGAGTTAGTATGAAGTGCTATGGTCACCCAACAAATATATTATTTCATCAGTTGAAATTATTAAAATTTTATAATTTGGTTAAATATAGTATTTTACAAGTCATGTAAAAAGATCATAAAAATATTACAATTAAAATTTGTTTTTTAAAAAAGAGTCAATATAACCTTAAGGGAATGGAAATGTTAGTAAAACCTCCATTTAGAACTAGTGTGAAGGAGCTGTATTGTAATTCAGGGAATAGGATTGTGGAATTGTCTAGATATCACCATAATTTTTTTAAAACAATTTATATGTTTAAAAAGATGATTAAGTTAAAGTTGTTGGGAAGGTATAGTGCCAGGTGAAGGATACCTGAAGTTTTTTTGTTTTCAGTTTGGAGATTGTTTAAGTGAAGGTTGTTTGTAGTTATTTTGTATTTTTTAAATAAGGGGCACATAAGAATTTTTTTCTTCTTTCTGCACCATCTTCATTCAATGTTTTGTTCTTTCTGATGAATTTGTTTTATTTTAAATGAATGAATAAATGAATAAAATAAAAAAAATCCATGCAGCGCTGAGGGTGTTTCAGGGACACATTGGCTCAAACTTTTATTGTGCTTCATCTTCTGACTCAGCATATTGTATCGAGTGGAACAAGTTAGATATTCCCACCGCCAGTTAGAATGACTCTCCGTCACAATTTGCAGTACACTGAAACCTGCAGCTTATCGGATCTTAGATAGCCAAACAACTTCCACGCCACCAAATTAGTCTTTCCTCTATTATCAGTTATGTCATCTGCTTTCTCTTCGCTTGTGAAAGCTTGAGTCACACTCTGACGGTCATTTTGAAGCTAAACTTAACGCTTGTTGAATCAATCAACCTTTATTTATACAAGTAAATCCCATTGAGCCTCGAGGACTCATTTACAAGAGAGACCTGATTTCAACAAAGAAAGATGACAACAATGGAACACAGCAACAACAATAAACAGTTATAAAAAAGCATACTACAGTTTTTTTTTTTTTTTTTTAAACAAATAGGATGGCTAAAAGGAAAATGTAGCAAAAAAAAACAGGATGGATAAAAGGAAAAATTAAAAAAAAAAAAAAAAGCTAGATTCCAAGACAAATGTAGAAAACTAACAACAGGAACATGTCAGCATTGGACCCTGCCAGGTGTCCAACAGATTCTTAAAGACACTTAGAGAGGTCAAGGTCGAGAGCTTCAAATCTTTTTGTAAGATGTTCCAGGAAACAGGAGCGGAGTAGGAGAAGGCCCTTTTGCCTAGTTCAGTTCTCACTGAGGGAACACTGCAGGTAATAATGTCCTGAGAGCGCACTCCGTAGCTGCACTCACACAGAGACATGTAGGAGGAGATATATGAAGGCAACAGACCAAGAAGTGATTTAAAGATGAAAATGTACCAGTGAGAGAGTCTGCGTGAAGTTAATGATGTCCAGTTAACCAGTGAATACAGGGTGCAGTGGTGGGTACAATAATCACAGCCAGTTATGAATCTTAGTGCACCATGATAGACAGCATCCAACATCTGCAGGGTTCTTGTAGGAGCGTTCAT